CAGGGGGGCCCCCCAGCGTGCTCTCTGGTGGACCCAGAAGTGGACCAGAATTGCTTCTGGTCCACTTCTGGGTCTGCTGATGAGCATGCCGAAGAGCCCCCCACACTCCTGTGGGACGCTCCATCTGCCCCAGCATCACAGCATTCACGAGCCACCTGCTACCCAGAGGTATGTAGAAAAAAACATTTAAAGCTGTGTCTATGTTCAAATCACCAAATCAATTCGGAGGTTCCAATTCGATTCAGAGATATTAAAGGGTCCTCTGATTTGCTTTGGATTTGGAAATTTGGCCACCGAATCATGCCGAATCTCTGCCGAATTGAATCAGGGACCAAAACTTCATACAGCCCTACTAACTATTTCTCTCCTACTGCAGGGAAAGGCACCTGTCCTTAAAATGGAATACCTCATCCACAAAAGGATGGAGCTAATAGCCAACTATGCCAAAACTCTTCCTTTGTTGCTGCTGTACAGGTAGAACAGAGTTCTAAAGAGTTTTACAAATCTTGCTACTGTGCTCATTTAGTTCATATTTGGTTGTGTGAAGGAGTTGCGCCTTCAAAAGAGTCCCTATAAATACTGGCTACCTCTGTGGTCTATACCCAAATGACAATTCTGATGTAAAAATATTCAGTTTAAGAACATGTTCTTTCACAAGTTTCACCTGAAAAACTGAATCTAGGTTCTTTCTCATTTGAACATCACCACAGGCCATGCAAATTCTGCTTTGTTAACTGTATAACCCCATTGTTGGTAAATTATTCCTTAAAACACCATGCCTACAATGATCTTAAGCCCCCCGCCCCACAATTTAGTGCTTTACAAATGCTTTCTATATGATGCAGGAGAAGAGATGGAATTAAAATCACATTTTAGTCTACAGTATGAGCAAGAGTTAAAAATCAGATTTGTGCCTTTAAATCAAGTAAATAGGGCTGTGAATACACACATATGTTAGACCACTTGAATAAGAACCTGCTATTTTTTGTAATCGTGGTTCTTAAGATAGATATGAAAACAAGGCAACTTGAACTGCTAACTGGAGTTAAACCCCCATTGCCTTTTCATTGCTATATTTATATTACAATTCACATCATGCCTTTCTACAGTGTAGAAATATTCTTTGCATCTTGAGTTGTGATTATTTTGTATTGCAGTAATAAAGGCAGATTGTGCTAGGTACTGTACAAAAATGTAAAATCTGTAATCTAATAAGAATAGCATACAATTTATATATATAAGAAACAAAAAAAAAACAGCTATGAAAAAGGATAGAGCTCACATGCAAGGTGAACAACGGTCTCGTGAATTCCAGTAGTGGAATTTCATTAGGATGCAATTTTTTGTCGTCATTAATAGGACCAAAGCAGGGCAAGTAGATATCTAAGGAGGCATGACTATGGGAATTGAACATCAGATCCTATCACACCTTATTGTGTGATAGGATCGTGATCCCAGGCTCCCCGTGCACCAGCTCCTGTCCCTGCTGATGAGGCTCCAAGTTGGGATAGCATGTGGAACACTGTCCCCCTCCCCCCCAAAGCCTGGTCAGCTATGGATCTCACAACGAGCGGTGCACTCCAGCACCTGATGGGGCTCCCAGCCACAGGGGAGCACCTGGCCACATGTTCAATTAATGGAGTGATAAGAATGAGTCATAAAAGTTATTACACATTTTTTGTGGAATAACTGGCTTATTGCTTGTTTTATCAAGCCATTAATTGATTGAACAGGTAGCTGGGTCACAGCTTAAGGTGTGATTAACTGGTTAATCACACTTCAAGTGTAACTTGTGGAGGTGGCATAAAAGAGAGAGAGGCAAGAACAAGCATCTAGGAACAAAGCACAGAAGTGACTGAGTTGAGTTTCAAAGATTCCAAGGACATCAGTAGGCTGGTAGGGATGCAAAAGCCCTGCTGGTGCCAGTAATGCTGTTCCTAGAAAGCATTTTAGAGACATAGGGCTTTAAAGTTGCCCCCTGAGTCTTTTTTGCATCCTTTACATGGATCATGGGCTGGGAGAAGGGAGACTGCCAGAATCTAGTGCCCTTGAGCATGATCAATTTCTCCATGACGTCTCCATTTTACTTTATTAGTAAGGAATTTAACTTTTGTCGCGTACATCTTTTTTTCTCTACATTACTCTCACACTTTGATTAAACTATCTTGTTGCTTCATGTTTGGTTTTGTTACATCTGCCCATAGGTAGATCTTTCTGTTTTACCTCTGTGTTATTTTAACCTCATTGTTTATCAAATTCCCTCTAAAGAAGTGATGGAGATGAAAGTGTTAGTATCAAATACTAATTTTCAACAGAGATGGTCTAGATAGCAGACTTTCTTTTCTGTCAGTAGTAATGAGAGTCAGCTTGAGGCAAAGATTTGAACACTGGCCTCATTCAAAGACCTAGATAGAACTGAAATAGAACTCAAACCAATATAATGCTACTCGATATGGCCTTGTTGTCAAAATAAGTACTTCATAGGTGGAGCAGTTGGGATTTATTCCTAGCGGTGCCACTGACTTCCTATGTGGCCTTTGACAAGTCAGGCAGTGTCTGTGCCTTAATTTTCCCCCAAAAAACAAGTGCTCATTGGGATAACACATCCTTAAATCACAACTGAAAGAACAATGCCTGCAAAACATTTTGAAGGTAGACAAAATATTTGTGTTGTCTTTTACTATAACCTGAAGAAAAACAGGTGGAATTTCCAAACATTTTGTTAAACAGCTTCCATGTGACTCTCCTTGCCAGCATATCAGAAGGTGTTCTTTATTTTAAAACAGAAGGAGCATCTGTTCTTTTTTTTTTTTTAAGATAATAATTGAAACATAAGTGCATTTGCTACACAAGGTGTCTTTAGAGAGATACAGCCATGATGCCATGAAAGCATTTTTTAATACTGCTGTATCTTTGCAAGAGACAAGTGAAACAGAACCAACATGTCAAACACTTTATATAAACTTTATACAGTTAGCCCATGTGAAAAAATGAAGGTTCAATGGAGCATCAATTGAAAGTATATTGCTGCTGTTTGCCTGTGACAAGACAAAAAGACACAGCAGCTGTCAGGAATGTTTACTCTATATGCCAGGAAACTTTTCTATGTTGAATATTAGGTTGTTTTCTTTTGATTAATTTTTTTATGAATGTTTTGACTCATGTATATTAATAAATACTAATTATGTTGGAACACCATTGATTATTTATGAAAGAAGGTTCAGTGGAGATAGCTACAAAACAAACTCACTTTTTCCTATCGAATCCTCCTAACACTGGTCATGACAGGCTACTCTCTCTGGGGAGAAGCAGCACAAGACTGAGTAAATACAGATGAGTGCAATACAAGCAGAAAAAAAATGGGCCACAGTGGCAAAATATCATATTTGTCAGTTCCTTGAAATAACTTCCAAACCAGCTTCTTTCCCAAAGTACAATGGTCACATGGTGGTTACTAGTATCAGAAACATGGCCTGAAAAAACTAGTATATCCAAGAAGATCACATGAATAGACAAATAGTATGTTTAGTATATTCACCAAAACCATGAATCAGTTTTGTGTGTGTGGGCATTTATAAGTTAAATTGGAAGAAAGAAAATTCACTGAGAAGAGGCAACGAATAGGCAAAAAGGTGAACTTTTTGGTGAAGAAAATTTCTACACAGACGTGTCTAAATATTTAATAAAAGGTATATGGCTATTACTCATACATTGACACATCAATATGTGATGCCTGATGAAGTTATTTGAATGACATTTACTATAGCACTGGCTGAAAAACAGCAAAAATGTAAATCACACTTTTAAAAACTGTCTAGGGATGAAACAGCTGGTTGAGAAAGCCATTTTAAAATAGTTAGATTTCCATTGATTATACAGGGGTTTCCATTCTGCTATGACATATTTTTGTATTAATGCTTTGTGTGTTACTTTTTGGTGGTATAGAAAAGAAATATGCTTCACAGAACAGCTTTTATTTTGGGTCCTTCACAGTATTGCAGAGTTTGGGCAGCTTACCAACTCTTCACTTTTGGCTCCCAACTGCATGGGTATTAAGAGCGGAGTGAGCTGAGATGACTGAACTCAATTCACTTCAGACACATTAGATTGTCTGACTAGATGCAATCACTGTTAATATCCCTGAGTTGTTCTTGATCAGGTATTTAATTTTTCAAGACATCTTGTCTCAACTATTCTGTCCTTTTTCAAACATCTCAATCATCAGTTTCTCCTGCCCATCACCCCATGAAAGATCAGTCTTTTTTTCTTTTAATCATTTGACTATGCATGCCAAACTACTTTCTTTCTGACAGTTGTAAATTAAATTTTCTAACTACTGGCATCAGAAACAGCACTCCCCTATCCCCTCCCCACACCTCTCCTCTGATCTGCTAATCCTGCACTACAAAGTATTAGAAAATGTTTCAGAGGCTTATTTAAAAAATAAAAATCTCAGACTGAAGTCATACTGCTTCATACTATTACTAGCATGGAATGCTACACACATACACACTCTCAACTTGCATTCAGAAAACCCCTTTTTATTTCCTTTTAAATACTGTGGAACTTTGACGCCTGTAGATCATGAGTATCCGCTTTAGCATGGGCAGAAGAACTTGTTAATCAAAATTAAGTTGCCATTGTATTTCATACTCCTTTATATACCTTAAGGACAAAGGAAGAGAGAAAGATGTTTGTTTCCCCCTTGCTGCTTCTCCACAACCCCCTTTTTAATTTCTAATCTTTTTTTCCAAAATCCAGAGGACCAGCTGATGAGAAATCTCTACCACAGTTCCTAGGAAACCTGTCTAAAAATTGATTCTCATGAGATAATAGTTCCATTCTGGGACACTTGCCTCTCAACTAAGCCTTTTCCTGACATAATACACAGACTCACTTGCTGCAGTGCAGAATGTCAGTTTACTCAGTTAGAACTTTCAATGCAGAAATTCAGCATGATGCAGTCACCCAGAGAAAGCAGCACTTACCTTAATTGAAATCTTTTCTCCGATAGAGCTGAGGCATCAGTCAAATCAGCACTGATTTAGGGACAATCTAAGTTTTCAATCAACACCCTCCAGGTAGCTGCATGCTGTGCTGCTGCCTTTTTCTGTTGATGTTGAACTCTTCACTGGCTATAGGAGAAAGAGAGAGAGAAGCTGAAATCCTCAGAGATTCCCAGTGACCGAGAGAAGGAGTACCAAAGCAACGTTTCTTAACAAGAGATTCTCAGCAAACGTGCTCAGGTCTGGATGCTCGTGTAACTGCTGTGATAGGCTCCTGTCATGTCCCCTGAGCCGTGGGATGATCATTGACCTGATTAGCACTGAACACTCCCTACATGCAGAAAAAGCACTGAGAGGATTGGTGGGTGGCAAGGGAATTGGGAAAGGCACCAGGGCCCCTTGGGAATCCTGTTTCTTCCAGGCTAATGGACGTGCTGCAGCTGATACTGTAATTTGGGAGGAGGTTATGCACAATGTTAACCATCTAAGGATTGAAATAAATGTGCTTTTGCAGGCTGTTTCTCAAGGTGCACCAGCTTACCATGTAGGGTACAGGCAAGTAATTAGAGACTGATGTAGATATTTCCTAATATGAAGCTGCCTGTATGCAATGTTCGGTAAGCAGAGAAAGTAAATTCACATACTTGCCGATGATCCCAGAGACAAGCTCTCAGTTAGAGCCTAGCATAAGTGAAATTAGTCTGGTGGGCTTATGTTAAGTGTTAATCCCCCAGATGGCAATCAATTGCCTATGCAAACAAAAAAAAATAAGGAAGGGAAAATTGCGGACTAGCTATATTGAATAAACATGTTTGACGATTTCAATAAACACAGACGAAGAATATTGAATTATTCTCTCTTTAAAATCAAGATCCTGCAAAGTGCAGAGAAAAATCCAAAGCAAAACTTAAGAATGCATATTCCTTTTTCTCAAAATAGTATAAAAATCAAATGAAGAATAAAGCAAATATTCAAAGGGCATGGCATGTTCTCACTTACACTGATGTTAATAGGAAAGAAGTCTATTAACATGTGCCAAGTCAAATAGATGGAAATAAATCAGCATGGGAGAAGAATCAGGCCACTGCCCATTGTCTTATTAAACATATCCCTTGGTTTACTTAATTAAACGAACTAACAGAAGGTGCAGAAATTGAGACACCAGTAGCTTGTCACAAAAATAGATCCATACACTTCAGTGACGACGGTCACCTATGAAAGTGCTTGCTTTAGTAATGGTTTTTGTAGCACAAACATAATTTCCTTCTTGGATTAGCTTTGGAAGCACCAGCTCAGGATAGAGATTAATTCAAAGGTCTTCACAGGCAACTGTTGTCTTTTGGGGGGAAACAAAATGAAAACCCCTCTATGGACAGTATTTACCCTGGCTGTGTTAGCACACCGATCCTCTGCACTTCTTTCCATTAAAATTAGTAAGAATTTTAGGAACAGGAATATTCACAGACTTGTAATTTAAGCACTAAATCTCAAAATAATAGGAGAAATGGATTGTATATATTTTTGCAAACATTCCCACTAGTACCTTAATTACAAGTTATCTTCAACGAATCATTTAAAAAAAAAAACCCACCATGCGACTTAACACAACTACTCACAATTCAGCGGCACAGTTTGAAGCTTTGGTTTTGTTTAGAATTTTTTAAAAAGCTCAAAAAATGTGTCATGTAATTTGACTAATGATTACATTTGAGAAACTGTCATTATTTCAGAAATCAACATAAGGAATAAAATTCTTTATAGGTCATATTCTGCTACTCTTGAATCCTATGGTGATGTAATGTATCATATCCACAAGCAGTTCAACTAAATTAAGGAAGACAACTCAAATAATAAGGTATTACTCACCAGAACAGAAAAGGACCCTGAAATAATTACTAAACCCACAACTGATTACTAAGACTAACACCCCTCCTAGACGATCACCAGTTTTGAAGTAAATAGACTGAATCATTGTCAAATTATGGTAATTTAGATGTTTTTAAAAGATAGGAAATTGTTAACATTGCCTCTTTGAAAGTCCGTCTCTCTCTGTAAAACCATGTGTACAAGTATGTGAAAAAAAGAGGAAGCTGGATTTCTTTCTTTTTTAATAAAGGAAGAGACAACATGATAAGAACAGTATTTCTACTGGGGAGGCATGTGCAGAAACTAAACATGAAATAAACTTTCAATAATTTTCTAAAACGGGTGGCCAAACTATGGCAAATGACACTACTGACCTGGGCAGCCTCTGTGCATGCCACCAGGCAGATCAGAGAGGGAACAGGTAGCACAATGGCACATAGGGCAGAAAACAAAAAATATAGAAGCAGATCAGGCAGGGACCATAGGGCATGGAGTAGAAAGCAGATAGGACCGGGGAAGGGGACTGCAGTGGCACTTAGGAAGGTGTAGGCTAAATTTGTGACATGCCTGCCAAAAAGGTTGGACCCCACTGTTCTAAAACATGCAATTTTGCAGTATATTTTTACATTAGTATAATGTTATTTACCAGCATTGCCAAATTCTGAACTATAGTTTCAGGGTATAATTGACCAATAGACCCAATGACCTCTGAGTACTCAAAAATACGCTGAAAAAACGTGTATTAAATAGGAAACACGTCCTATTAAATTTCAAGCTGTAAAAAGAAAACATAGTACATTCTCCTGCGCTACAAATTCCATGTGACCTGAGAAAAGCTATGTAGTCTCCAAGCCTTTGTTTTCCCATGTGTAAAATAGGAATAATAGTAATTACTTTGTCTGTCTCTTCTATTTACTTGGTAAGCTCCTGAGACAGGATCTGTCTTTACCATGTCTTTGTATGGTGCCTGACATACTAGGATCCTAGACTTGATTAGGGTACCTTGGTGCCTAATAATCAGGGATCCAGGTTTTCCACTTGCCACAGAAAAATGAGGAGCAATGCAGATTTTCTCCTTTAAACGAGAAAAATGTGGATTTTCTCCTTTGAAGAAGAAAAACCCAGGAAACTCTGGGTTTCCCCTTGCAGGCTGGCAGAGTTCCAGCCTGTAAGGAACTTCTTGGGATTGGTGGGAGCAGGATGCAGGGGGTGCCATGTGTATGCACATACATGCATGTGGCAGCCAGCCATGGTGATGGAGAGCAGCTCCCACAGCTCCCTTCAGGTAAATCTGTGGGGAGTGGCACAGGTGATGTGTGAGGGCCGGGGGGCACAGGCGGGGAGGCGGGCAAGTGCCCCCCCAGATTTCTGAGTCCTCGGCAGGGCATGGGGCTTCAGCCTCACTGGATCAGCTCTGGGTAGGAGCCACCTTCATATACAAACAGGTGGGACCTGGTGTGGGAGGGAGCACCACACCACCAAGGTGAGGTGCAACAGTGGTGTAGAGCTGTATCCCCCACTGCTGCCAGGTGGGCAGGGGGCATTCACCTTGGTGGCCATGGTGGCACCGTGCTTGCTCCCGCACTGGGTCCCGCCAACTGGGCCACAGAGGCAGTTCCTGCCTAGAGCTGGTCCAGCCCAGCTGCAGCCCCACACCCCATTGTGGGCATATAAATCTGGGGGGGGGACCTGCCCATCCCCCGGCCCCCCCAAAACATTGCCTGTGCCTCCCTGCCCCGAGATGTGTCACGTGTGCCCATACCCCCTGCTCCCCATACACCCACTTTGTTCCCCACACACTGGGGGTAGGGGGCAGTGGGTGAGGAGTGAAGGGAACCAGAAGGGCCAGTGGCCTGTGATTCAGGAGTGAGGGGAACTAGCAGGGCCAGGGGGCTGTGGGTTGGGAGTGAGAGGTACCAGCAGGGGTGGGAGGCTATGGCTTGGGAGTAAGATCCAATGGCAGGGGCAGAGGCAGGGAACTAGCATATTAGGGGTTTTCAGCACCGCAAAGTGGTGGTGGGGATAGCTGTACCTGGACCTACATCCTCGTAAGCCAAGGGGGAAGGAGAAACTCTGATTTTCCATGATAAACAAAACAAAATCAAATGCAAAAATAGACATTTAGAATTTATTTTATTATAATGATTATAAAGGAAGCCACATATAGGCTTCCTTTAAAATTGTAAATATATCAATAAAACATTGTGTTCATCTGATATCTATCTGTCTAGTGGCATTTCATTATAATCTTGGAAAAATGCAAATTTTGGGTTTTTAAATCGGAGAATATGGGATTTTTTTTTTTTTATCAGAGAAGTTAGGATTTTTAAACAGAGAAAACCAGGATCCCTGCTAATAATTATAAATGAAACCAAAAAGGAGGCATATAAATATATTAAAATCAAACATAAACAACAAATTCTTATTGGCATTTTCCTTGGCTGGATTTGTGATGCTCTTTTCCATGTCAAGAATGAGGTAATTCTACTCTTGCAAGACTTTAATTGGAGAAGGGATTGCTTCTTGTCCCCTTAAATCTGTCTCATTCAATAGGCAGCAGATCATTCCAACATTTTTGATCTCATTGGCTCTGACAGGGTGTGCCTTATGGAACGGTTAATCCCCCACAGAGACACATCCTATATTATTTAAGACTTCAAGTAGAATCACAGAAATTAGAGATGAAAAAGACCTTTAAGGTTATCAAACTCATCTCATTGTCATTGCAGGATCACTCCCTATAGCAGATTTACTGTCTTTCATTCAGTCTGGTTCTAAATCTCCACTGCAATTGAATTTCTAGCACTTTTCTTGGGAAAATATGCCACAGTTTAATACTAACTCTTTCCTGTTATTGGCCTTTTCTTTCTTTCATGCCAAGAGCTAAGTATACGCCATATATTGCACTAAATATCTTCTACCCTCTGGATCTATATGTAGCCCAGGTGTACATGGGTTTGTACTTCCCTCTCCAATTGAGGGAACTATTGGCAGGGAAGTGTGCTGTGGAGGGACACAACAGCCCAGCAGCCGCCTCTGTCCCCTGTAGAGTCAGGTCCAGTCAATCAATTACTTAACTATATACAGATTTATTATTACAACAAAACCGTTAAAAGGTAAGGACATAGATTATATATATATATGTACACATTTACAAAACAATAAACCCTATTTTATATATATATATATATATATATATACACATACTCACACACACACATATACATATACATATGCATATACATATACACACACAGATATAC